GGTGAGAACCCGGCGTGCTCCGTCCCGGCTTTGTAGGGATGCGAGGTCAATGGTCTAACGACTACGGCATGCACGACTATGAGTACACCCCCCCCCCCTCCCCCCCCGCGGTATCCAACTACAGGCATCTCTCCTGGAACAACACCCTTGTCACGCCATCATCCCCAAGATCCCACCCACTTTTCCACACACCAGTCCGGTCTCGGCGACCGTTCCCGTGAAGCGGACCGTGGCGATATCCCCCGTCGCGAGGCCCTTCCCGCTCCCCTCCTTGATCATCTCGCGGGTCACGCCTCCGTCGCCGGACAGGTCGATGGGGCTCGTCGCCACGGCAGTCGACATGGCAGGGGCCTGCTGCGCCCTGCGTTTGAGGTGGTGATGGTGGTAGGGGGGGGGGCGCTCTCACGTTTTGCATGCCGTGTACTTGTAGACCACGCGTCCTCGAGAGGACGAAGCGTTGTTTTCGAAGGACCGATCGCTGATGGAAAATCGGTGCGGGGAGGGGGTGTACTCAGGTAAGCGCATGCTGTGGGAGGTAGACCGCAGACCTCGTATCCCTACACTGCCGGGACGGAGCGACATGTTTTCGCCGGTCCAGGCTTGTACGTTTCGCAAGGATGAGCCCGAAGCTCGTTACCATCCTTGCGTGTGCGTGTGCCATGGGTTTGAACGGGCATCTCGGCTAACCAAACGCTTCGCATTCGGCAGGAACGGGAATGAAGTAGGTGGCCGGACATTTTTGGCATATAGGGGCAAGAGGAGAATATGGATTCAGGGCAGTGCCACTATTCGATATATCGGGTTCATTTACATTTGAGATTGTGGCCAAGAGATTTCGATGCCACTGATTCCGCAGTTCCACCATTGAAGTTACCACTATATCGGGCCACCTACACAACTATGGCAAGGGACTTTCGACCTTTGCGCGCTCTTACAAAGAAGGCACGCCACACCCAGCGCACGGGGATGGGTGGGAAAATATTATGTGTAGGATGCAGCCGCGGTAACACTGCCGTGCAACCACTGATGGATTACAGCAGTGAGTGGGGAAGAAAGTCTGCGGGATGCTGGGGTTGTGTTGAGCCTGGTTGGAAACACAAAAAACATCCCGAGAGAACCGAGAGAACGGAGTGTTGAGGTTCTCCGGAGATTGCGGCGTGTTGCGAAAACGACGTGGTTTTGTGTTTGTGTTGCGAGTATTGAGGTGACCCCACGGCGCGGCTTTGTCGTGATCGACACAACTGCACACAGGGCAATTCAGCCGGCAATCACAAGGCAAAAGAAGCCGCAAGAACCGACACGTAAACATGCGTCTAGCTGGACATCAGAAGCCTTGTAGTGGAAAGAGACCATACCACGGCGGGGAAAAGAGCGTTGTCTATCGCGCCCGCTGCAGATACAAGTACCAGGTATATTTTTATGCAGGTAACTCTCTCTAATGCTGTGCATGGTGTAGTTCTTCAACTCCATTTTTTGCTCCAGAGACCCACATATCCTCAGCCAAGCCTTCGCCGGCCATGGACGTGTCACACGAAGCACTGCTGACAAAGGTGACGTGATACCACTTGAAAGGGCCGTGGTGTTCACCTTGAGCCCCATCCCCTCGTTCTCCTTGTCCCTGGCCCTCTCGCCGCGTTTCGGCAGCCAGCCGTCGTTGGTCTCGCGACTCCGAACCCATCACAGCCGTGGTGGAAGGCAATTCCCAAGGCAATCAAGGTGGCCGAGCGTGTCATCATGATTCCACGGTAAGAGTTGGTTGTGTGCATGATCTGAGTGGCTCAATCGCTCGCTACTCAGCACTCGCTCCTCGCTCTGCGCTCACATATATGCGGGCGCAGGAGGGCACGTGGATTGCAATCCCCCGCACCTATGCCACCCCC